GTTAGATGCAATGTACGTTTATTTTTAACTAATAAACTAATATGAATACTAATATCCTTCTTTTACCACAAAGTAATATTTTAATACTAAATTGTTTTATTTTTCAAGTAAATTAATAATTATTTATTCATAAATTGCAAATTTTGTGTGTAACATATCTTAAACCATGAAAACTCTTTAAAAAATGATTGATCATTTGAAATCATTATTTAATCTTTGATTGAATAAAATACCGATACAATATATGCATACACAAAGTTATAGATGATTAATTTTCTAACATTACAGACAACAGTGGATGAATTAGTTGCAGCAACAGCTTATTTTGATTTATTCCTTCGTTCTGTAACTGAACCGGGTCTTTTACGTTCACTTGTTAGATTTTTACTTGAAGATAATTATGATGAATGCAGAATATTGGATAGTCTTATTCAAAGGATATCTTCTAGATCACGGGTACATTGTTCATATTTATTATTTGTTATAAAAAATAACGTTACTCGTAATATTTACTAAGGCTGATACCTAATAAGGAACCAACAATTTTTAACTTTTTGTTTTAGTTGTGTATAGTAACATTGGGACTATTTGAAACGTTAATTAATTTAAATTGTGAAGACATTATGCTAGAATTATGTCTAGGTGCATTGAGTCCTTGTTCTCATGTAATGCTGTCTCAACGCAGAAGGTTAAGAGATATAGATCCCTTTGGACGTGCAGCTGAAAAGTTTTTATCTTTAACACCAAGTTGTTGTTCACCACTTACATCCATAAATTCGCAATTTAATTCTTTACCTAATAGCACAACATATGAAAGACATTCAAATACTACATCTGAATCTTTGAAATCATTGCCAGCATTAATAAATTATGGTGTCAAATTATCAGATAGTTTATATGGAAATTATCATGCATATTTGTGTGATGCTCGACAAAAAATAAGAGCGTGCCGTATTGCGTGTTCTAATTGGTCTTATCAATATAACGGAGAACTGCCAAAAGATAGTACTACTAGCAGTGCAACTACTTTGATAGATGATAATACATTATTAGATCAATCTCAGAAGAAAACCGAAACAATTAAAGCCTTGTCACTGGAAACATTAAAGCAGTCAACAATTCCTAATGAAATTAATGAAAATTCATCAGTAGACAATATGTTAGTTAACATTCAGTCTTTGTTAGGTGGAAAAGATTTAAATGTAGTAGAAAAAGAAGTGAAAACGGAGTCTCTTGCTACAACAGGAATAGAGTTATCATTGGAGGAACAAGCAAAGTTGGATGCAGATATAGCTGAATTGTTAAGTGAAGATATTGGGATATCAGAATCTGTTAAGGAAATGTCATTAATTGATAAAAAGGAACTTGACAGTAGTATTGAAGATTCAAATACTGCCATGAATTCACTTTTATCATTAGGAGAGAGTAGCGGCTATGAAAGTTTTGCATTTAAAGGTTCATCGCAGTCAACTCCGGATAATGAACCCAGCGAAGATCGAATAAGCGAACACGAAGAAATAGAAATTGAATCAAACAAGGAACAAGGTATATTTCTTCATAACATCATGGAGTCAAGTGTAATCACACCAGAAGAATTAACAGCAAATAAACAAAGTAAAGAAAGTTATCGTCAAGATGTATTTAACGGACAACCGAATGTCGGTATATTTTTGGACGTTCTTTTGCGAAAACTCGAATGTATGACAAGTAATAATCTATATGTTAACTTACATTTAACTGGTCTTATCAGTAGACTAGCAATATATCCTCAGCCTTTGTTACAGTCATTTCTCTTGAATCATTCCCTGGTATTTCAACCCAGTATTAGATCGCTTTTTCAGGTTTGTATTTGCACAAATATCTTCATTATAAATATACTATGCAAATCATATATATGTGTACATATGTATATATATCTTTTTGAAATCTATTTCTTTCTTTAGGTACTTGCATCACTAAAACATAAAATAGATCAGTTTCTTTCTCAACATAATAATGTGGATATATTGGTAGAACAAGCTCGACTATTTCTAATTAACCGCGAAGATAAATTAGTAAATGCAAGAAAAAATGCATTAGAAGCTGCTGCCCACTCTGCACCTACTAAAAGAAATTCTTTAAGTGGAGAACCATTTTCAAGAGGTATGATCTTCTTTCTGATTACTCAAATATGGGTTAGTGATTTCGATTTGTTTATGATTTGTTGAAGCGTATACATAAGTTAATATCATATTATTTTTAATAATTGCCATGCATTCTGGAAGTATTCAAACGATGTAGGTATAATCATCAAAGATTTACCAGTACAAATAATATACAATTATTATATTTTAAAATCATACTTACTTAATTATATTTCTAGGTGAAAGCAAAAGGTGGAGTTTGACGTCATCTTTCACGCAAATGCTTAGAAGATCAAGTAGTAACTCTGGTCCCAGCAGTTCAATCAATACTGTCCATCAATCAGCTGGTATGTCGGAAAATCAATTAGAAGCTATTGGACATAGTTCTGGATACCGGTAAATGTTATTCTGGTTACATTATTAATATTTAAAATTAAAACGAAATTTTTATTTACACTTTTAAGCTAAATAAAATTGTTACGACAAATTATAAAATATATAGTTATTAAAGAAAAATAGATTACAAAATTTGACTAAAAATATACTAATTTTCTAATTAAACATTATAGTAATATAAAACTTTTTATCAATTAGGTATTATACCAAAACGTCCTGGGAATCGCCAAACGAAGTAAGTCCAGTACAAAATGTGGTTTTATGTGCAGTTGTATTAGACGAATGGCTAAAAGAATTAGCTGCAATTACACAGGAACATGCCATTATGTCTCTTACAAGTGATCTGGAGTTTAAAGTTTAATATGTAAGATGACTGAAGTATACAAATTAAAATTGAGTTGATAATAGAGTAATTCTATTCAAAACGTTTCTTTCCTTCTTAGAGGGTTTTAATAAAGTAATATGTGATATACTTGCTAGACTTACACATAATAAATCATATTATAGCGTTTAAAATGTTTATCTGGAGTTATTAAATAAAATGTAAAGATATAAAGAATATTGCTGCAGACATAAAAATAATGACACTATTTTATTTTGCAATTGTAAATAGACAAACTAAGGGATTAGCTTTGAAAATTGTAGATTTATATGTTTTTGTTAATGTTGTCCATTTTAAACATTAATTATATTACGTTGAAATTGTGTTAAGGAAAAATATTATAAACAGTTTTATTTAATAGTCGCTTTTAAAATACTAATTAATTGTATTTAAATAATATCAGCCGAATGCAAAGACTGACATTTAGAGCAATTTCCTATATAACGTATATATATTATGTTATTAACAAATTAATACCTTTTTACTATATATACAACAAGCCGTGTCAGTTTATTTGCAATTATTTTTAAATATACGCAACAATTCAAAATCGCAAACAGTTTAAAAACATATAAATAAGTAACGAAAAGTGCCAAGTTATTACTTTAATATGCTATATAACATAATTAACACTTTGGAAATTGTTTCAAATGTTTTCAAAACTTAATGATCAAATAACTATTTTAGCAAGTTAATTTTATTAAAGAAATGAGTACTACGCATGGGCATATTTATAAATTTTACGAAAACTAGAAGTGCATAATGAATAATAATTATGCAGCCTAATTTTATTGTACTTAATTTAATACATGAGTAAAACCATGTAATTACAAATTAATATATATTCACAAGTATAATTTAAAAACTTAATAGCACAAAATATTATATAGATATAAAGTTATATTACAAATTATGAATTATGTCTGGCTGCAGTTTACATTTTCACTTTTACTACTATAATATTGAATATAGGGTAAAAAATATTTCATTATGCAGTTTTATATCGAATAAAATATATTAACTGTCTCATTTTTGTTTAAGATTTAATGTTTTTAACAGAAAAGAATTTTTGAAGCATACAAAGTAAAAGATTAGTACAACTATTTTAATTATAGTGTTGATACCTTAAATGATATCAATACTTGCCAATATTGCAATATTATTGTATGATTATAAAATATTTGTGTATGTAAATATAAGTAACATATCAGAACTTAATTATTAATACGAAAATTATTCTAGCTCAATTTTGGTTAACAAATACTAAAATTAATGACAATGTGAGTGCAATTTTTAACATATTATGCTAATTAAGAAGCAGTGAACGACAGTAAAAGTGCAACTTGTGCATTACAGAAAATTATGGCTATATATTCTGTTTACCGTTTGAAAGTAACATATTTTTTTATCACTTTAAAACTTGTATTTAGTATAAAATACTTGCCGCAATGTGATATTAAACTAGGCTATTGGAAAATTGTCTTCATTAAAATAATTTAGATTGCTTTTATTTTAAATACATTAAACGCATATCAGTTTAATTAAGATTGTTAACAATTTTGTATCAATATAATACAGTGTGCTTCAAATGTTTGAACATAATGCATGTTGTAAGAATATTATTTTATTGAATTTTAATCAAATAATAATAAATTTAGAGTGCCTGAGTAATTATATTAATATTGTCAATTTGTTTATTAATATTGAATTTTATTATTAATATTGACAAAGGTTTACTGGATCCAT